TTGCATTAGTAAAACATTTGTTATATAACAGCATTATTCATAATTAATGAATTCATAATTACAATTCACTAACAAAACCATTCCTCCACATCAAGCGTCGCTCCATGGTGAGGATGAAACGCGTCAGAGAAGTGACTGTTCCCGTGCTCCCTCAGAGAAGTGAACAAACGGGCTAATGAGCATCAGTAACCACCACAACCCCACGGGGTGAAACAACGAGCAAACAAACAACCGCCCTGAATAAAATACTCGGAAAGGAAAGAATTGACAAAGTAGACAGAACCTTGTGCCAGGGTCAGAGATTAAGTGACAGTGATCCTGGTAACAGAGAACAAGGATCCACAGAAAATCAATAAAATTACTTAAAATTTGAAACTTACATTTTTACAAAGGTCGAGAATAACCAAAAAAACAGTACAGAAGCAACAGGATTTATTTATCACGCATCTTTCAGTACCATAAATGGCGAACGTCAAACGGTCTGAACGCGCGCAAGTCTCACATAAATAACATTAAATTAGAAAGTACTAAAAAAGAAATACAATTCAGCTTTCCGGCAGCGATTTTCAGTAGTGAACACAAAAATTAGCTCCATGTTTGTCACGACTGAACGGCTAGAAAGTAACGGATAAAACGTTGGAAAAACTACAAAATTGCGGCTATATATAATCAGATATAACCGTGGCAGTAAAGTTGATTTTAACTGGAACTGTAATCGAAGGGAACACCGCATGGTCATCCATTAGCATTACTAACAACACTGTTCTATACAATTCAGTTCGTCAAAAAGCGAAATATACGATATAAATATAAAACTCTTAAAAAGCTTTCAGTAGCGCTAACGACAACATAATAATATAAAAAGTAGCACAACTGACAGCATACATTAGAAAAGCGGATAAAATAGATTACAAATGGCCTGCAGTGAACCACGGTCAAGCAAGAACTTAATAAAGGCACGAGAGACAACGAGAGAGAATATCCTCCTTTCATTCTTAGCGGTGTCAAGCCCATCCGCTGGTCAGCCTGTGGAACAGCTCTTCGTTGAGCACTTGGTTCTGATCTTTCGATCGCAGCGATGAAAATATGTATCCGCCAATAAACTCATGGGGCACCTTACAATCAGCGGAAAGGCAGCTGAATTCGACATCTTCATTTTCGAACTGAATCTAAAACACAGAGCGTTTCGAGTAAAAGAAGTCATGGATTATTAAAAAAATACCTTTACCTGATCCTTAATGCTGTTTAACACATGTTATTTTTATTATTTATTAATACACTAACCCAATAAATTGTATTTTTGTAAAAAAAGGTCAGATTTTCAGATGAACAGTAAATCAAGCGTCATTTTATGTAGGCAACGAC